CAGGTCAGGAGAGGTCTGCTGCGCTGTGTGGGTCAGCTCTCTGGCCGGGGATCGAACTCATGCTGCAGTGGCTGTGACAGCTTCATAGTGCTGCACTTTAACCTGTGGCACCACTAGAGAGGGCCCCTGTTTTAGAGTAAATCTAATAATAATCAGAAAGAATTTGGCAAAAAATTTGTCTATGAATTTGGAGGTGAGCAGCTGCTGTTACACAATAAAGAAAGGTAAGATTTAAAAGTCAAATAGAAAAACTTACAATCAAATTGGCAACTCAGATATAGCTCACTGGGTGGAGTATTTAAGGTAACTATAATTATACCAAACAATGTATCTCAGGGTTGTGATTCTCCACAATATCACAGAGCCTCACATGTGGTCGCCTCAAGCCACTTGGTCCCTCTGTCATTTAACAGGATGTAAAGGGACTTACGCTGAATCTATGTTGACAACAATCTGACGAGGCATTATGGAAGCAGATGACTAAGAGCCAAGCATGCTTAAAACGAAGTAAACGTGGAAGCACTCGCCTGTCATAAGCAGCAATCATAAAGTTAAGGAGGAGGCTGATGGACTGCTCCACGCTGATCTGGTGAGTGGAAGGCAAGCGCTTGTTCAGCTGGTAGTAGATGGATGAGATGACGGTCTCCAGGCGGGACACGCTGATCTCAGTGGAGTGGTCCAGTGTGTTAAGGCCATTGTCTCGGAAGGCTTCAATCATGTTCCAGATATCAACAAGATGGACTAAGTCACAAAGAAAATAAATGCTCAACAATTCTCAAGTATGGGGCTACCTTCACAACTGGATACTACATCATATTAAAGGAACTGTCTCTTCACGTCTCTGTAGACAATGATCTGTGTAATTCATAGTGATAGTGTGAGGAAAAATGATAAAGAGCTGCTGATAAGGACTTTTAGTCTTTTATGTAGTTGGTAATGTTGCCTTGCAATAACTTATTTTATTACTTTAGTCTAAGCTTCAGCAACAAACAAGCTTAGTGAGAGTGATTAACCACCTCTTAATGACAACATACAAAAAATAAGTATAAACAATATATAAACTTTACAACAAAGTATGTAAAATGGATATGATATGATGCACTGATGTAATAAAGAATATACTATTACAGTTACACAAAGAACAGGTATAAAAAGTGACCTCATACTGAATCATAATGCTAATCTCAACAAAGATAAATGGATTAAAATCATATAAACCGTACTGTATAATCAAAATTAAATTAAGTTAGAAATTATTATCAAGAAGACAACTTTTAAAATAAACCTGATCATTAGATATGAAGAAAAACATGCTACTAGGGATATAGGGAGTTTTGTGGTTTTTTTATATTTTTATTATTTATGCATACAAGAACTGGGGTGTAGGTGAAAGGTACGGGGGGAGGTGAGAGGATTTACTAAAGACAGAGTGGGGAGCAGAACAGGCAGATGCTGAAATACACTGCTGAGGGGAGCAGCAGGCGAGACAGGAGAAATCTGCTGTCCCGTGGGGGGTCGCCTCCCTGGCTGGGGATCAAACTCATGCTGCAGTGGCTGCGATAGCTAGATAGTGCTGAGACTTTAACCCCTGGCACCAGAGAGGCCTGGTAGGGGGCTTTGTTATGTGATTAAGGATAACTATAAAAAAAAAA